CAAACAATCAAACACACTTTTTATTTAAATATATAACATTCATAAATGAATATAGAATTTTAAATTTACTTTTGTTAATGTTGTAATTGACAATTGCAGATATTTCTACGATATTTGATATGCAGATATTTGCATAGTGTCAGTATTGTATATGCAAATAGACATCTCTGTCTATATAGCACAGTTTTGTTAGTTTGTTAGTTGGCTAGTGGTTATTGGATAGGACAGGCCGGCGTGAACTGCTGATGTACATATATTTTGATCTCTTGTCCTTTTATTGTTTTATACCTTTAGGTAATAAAGGATCTTTCTCTTCCTCTACGAGTCTATCATTTTTCCCAACTGTTAAAATTTATTATTTAGCATATATTTTAACAAACTAGTAATATTTATTTGTATTTATATCATTGTTTGGATGTAAAATCAAGAATGATTTTAATGTCCTTTCTTTCTTCTTTAAACTCTACTCAAACCTTGTAATTATTCAATTGTTTATGTAATATAGTATCTGTGAATTTAGTGTTGTTTCTTGACGTAAGCATCCCTTGTGGTGATATCGCGTCTGATTTGATAATAATACATAGAATAGATATATCAAGAATCGAGGAATTATTTATCAAAGGAAAAGCTCTGCCTTTGATTTATATCATTTATATATTCACATCCTTAAAAGATATGGCTGACCAAATAATTTTTGATAATATGATATTTTTTATATTTATTCAAATATCATAAATATATGGAAAAATATAAGAAAAAAAAAGGAAAAGAAAAAGATCAGGTGTTGATCATAAAAATAAAAAAGGCATATCCTGACCAGGAGCACATGTGCTTTTTAGATGGCAGAGCCCCATCTAGTGGTACAGAAATCAACTAAACGTTAATGTTGCCTGTTCCATGATATTTTGCCAACCTATTTTCTTGATTTATCAAGAAATTGGGTTAGCCAAATATCAGGGAACAGGTTGAACCAATGTTTAATTGATTTCTGTTACACCAGATGGCGCTCTGCCATCTAAAGAACACATGTGCTCCTGGTCAGGATATGCCTTTTTAAATATATATATTATAAATAATAATAATAAATTTATATATTATAGAATAAATAAAGCCTCAAGGACTAAGTTTCTTGTACAACCTTTTATTTTCAAGCTTTCGGACTTGTCAGTCCTTCAACAGGATTATCACGTTAACAAATTAACGATATATATTATCTTTATATACACATATAAACTTATATATGATTGCTGTGATAATCCTATTTTTTATGAAAGGGAGGGATATGCTCTAATGATATTCTGTAAAGAGAAAACTACGCTCAAGTAAACCTATCGATGAATATTGTTACGTCGTACCCAGACGTTGTTTGTGTTCTTTACTCTGTATGCCACAAAGATACACATGTGAGTTCGAAGGGATTGCAGCTAAAGTTAGCGTTTTATTATGGCTCACTTAACAGAAGGAATACAACAGTGGGACTTGACTTCAACCTCCCCGTCCGAAGAATCCTTGGCGCCGTGGATGTCCTCTTGTGAAGCGTTCCGCTCCACACTGTACACGTGCAGCTTGGACTACACCGCCTTGTAGGTCGCTCTGATGTCGGTCTCTCCTGGCACCGCCTTGTAGGATCATCCACACGCCCCGGAGGTAACTCGCCGCCGTCTTCTCCTTGCCGCAGATCTCGATGTCACCAGACTGACTTCTCTCCCCCACACTGCGATGTCCTCTCGACGCACAAACCCCCTTCAGGCCGACCACTATCTCGGCTCCTTCCTTCACTACGGCACAAGCTGGATTGTCTGTTTGCCGCCCCCTCCTCTGGAATCTGTCAATCAACACTTCCATTTGTACAGTACATTTGTAACTGATATCGTTAGATCGTACTGTGAATTGTGGCATTTCAAATTATAAACATTGATAGATGTATCATTGTTTTGGCGGATATGAGGAACAAACCTCAATACATCTTTTACTGTATTGTCCTGTTTTTCAAGACTATAGAATCGACAATAATTTAATTGTAACAATCCAAGTATTTTTATTTTTACACTAAAGAAATGTATATTGAATTTAACACCTTTTTTTAGATATAGCAACAAATCTCTTTTAAGAAACTGATC